AATAGATATAAATCATAAAATTTTGTGGACGGACATTAATTTGCCTTGAAGTTGAAGTTATTGCTATTTCTCTTGTTATTGTGGTTTGTTGGTTAGTTGATGGCATTCTGCAGATTTTACATAATAAATCAAGCTTAAAACTCAACAGCAGCAACACCGAAAGGCACATACCAGCATACAAGCAAACCTTTATATGTACATACTGTATGTATGTATGTATGTATGTATGTACGTATGTATGTATGTATGTATGTAGGTAAGAGCGCCCACATGTTGGCGTCGACTGTCGGTTGTTGTCATGCAACTTTGATATTGGTTTTTGTTGTTGTTTCATTAGCTTAGTTGTAGTTGGTTAAGAGCAGTCTTCTACTGACCTAGGGAGTGTGGTATGGTGTACATATATATTATGTATATATACATTTGTATGTATGTTTTTCATGTCAAGCCGTGTTGATGGAATCGTGTGTGATGGAGCGTGATTTCTGCGTCACTGATGTTGTGATTCACAGCAAAGCAATCTCACCTAACCAATGCATTTGTAATACACACATACATACATATTCGAGCGTGACGTTTCAATGTGAAATTTCCATTAATAAATCTATAACATTTTAATTACCTCAGCAATTCAGAAAAAAATGAAATAGTTTTAAGTAGGAGATTTTCCAATGAAAGGTGTTATTTGGTGTAGGCCGATATTCCTGTGGATGTCACTTTTGAAACCGCAAAATTACGCCAGTAACCAAAAAGAAACGATAAACTCTTCAACCAGGGATTGAAATTATTAAAGTTCCCTACAAGAATTTCATGGAAAGATCAGCTCGACTGATGAGGCCTATTTCCCTCTCGATAATGTCACATCTTGGGCTTAAAGAACTCAAGATTTTTTGGAGAAAAACCTCTCCATTCTCAACGTATAGCTGCTCATGGTCCGGCGAAGTCATTGGACGTAGCTTTTTCGAAAATGAGGCTGACGAAACAGTTGCGATGAATAGATTGAACTACCGACAAAGGAGTAATGACTTTTTATGGCCAGAATTTAATTGTATTGATCTAGACAACGTTTACTTTAAAGAAGAAGGTGCCACGTTACATACAAGCCACACAAGCAACGAAACTATCGGTCTTTTAAGATAAAATTTTCCGTGTTATTTCTCGAAAAGCTGACGCAATTGCTCACCGAGATCTTGTAACTTAACACCTTGAGACTTATTCCTTTTGGGCAATGTGAAAGATAAGATCTACGCCAAAAAGACAAGGTCGACTTAAGATTTCGAAATGGAATTTGTGAAGCTATTGAGACCAACGGTTTGGTGATAGAAAATTTTATAAACCGGTTATGGTTCTGTGAGCGTAGCCGTGGCGACCATTATGAATGGCATAACTTCCTCTTTACAGGGAAACAAACAGCGAAACATTTATCTCAAGAAATTCTACTTTTCTCTGGATATCAAAACAACACCTCTTATTGGAGAATACTTTAGTAATCAACACCTGGATGTGTTACTCTGCAGTGGAGGGTTCTACAGTGGAGTGGAGGGTTCTACAGTTTTTCGGCAAGTGTAGACTTACAACTACTCGAAGTTAACGGTCAGCTCTCATTTGATGCTCCGGCAGAGGAAACGAGCATTTTTCTATGGATACACCTGTTCTTCAAAACAGTGTACCCAAGATTAAAATATACAATAAACAGCTGATAAACGTTATAAACTTGATATGTTTATCGTTTAATGAACAAGTTTGAATTTTTTTTTATTCCAATTCGATTATCAAGTTTATCCGTCAATTTTCTCGTCTTTAAAGACTATTTCTAAGTGGTTCCGAAGCTTCAAGACCAAACTTTTATCCATAGAGGACGAGACCCGAGAAGGTCGACCGAAATCCCCCACGGATGACGTCACCGTAGCTCTCTTGAAGTTCAAAATTGACGAAGACTCTCGAATTACACAAGAAATTGGCTTAAAGGCCTTGGTTTTATCGCCAATATTAAATAATCATCTGGTATAAACGAATAAATCTGCTCGATGGGCACCATGAATGTTAACTGAGACCAAAAAAGAGGCTCGAGTGCATTTTGCTCAATTTTTCCTAAAGAAATTCGAAAATGGTTAGTCTAGCAACTTTAGTAAAGTCGTTATATAAGTAAATCAAACAGCAATCCATGCTATGGAGTCCAACAGGAGCAAGCCCAACCGTAAAGTCAGAAAGCGGAAAAAATCAGCTGCAAAAGTAATGATGTCAGTTAACTTCAGCCGGTAGCTACGAATTAGTACACCGAAGAGTCCTTACCAAGAGTTTTCAAAAATTTGTTGGAAGACAGGAAGAAATAACGAGTAATTTTATTACGATCCCTGAAATCGAAGAAATACGTCCTGCACGACACTTCCGGCATATATCACCTTCTGATTTCTGGTTATTTCTTAAATCTCAAAAAAATAAAATAAAAAGGTAAGGTCTTTAATAGCAACGAGAAGAAAATTAATAACGGTAATTCTGAATTTGATAAACAATTAATAATAACAGCTCTAAGACGACGAGGCATGAACTGAATAAGACTGTTGAAGTCAAAACTTTCAGGTATTTTCTTTCACTCTTCCTGAATGACCTCAATATGAGCGTTTTTATTAGTTGGGCCCGCTTTTGTCCACGCGCTGCTATAAAAAACCATACATTTTCTATGGGATTTAAATCAGGACTCTGGGCAGGAGTATCAATCACTTTACTGTAATTATATATAGTAGCCACGTCCTGTACAGAAATGATTTTTGTTTGGGATCGTTGTCCTGGAACAGGTTGTACCTTAATTTATTAACGTTTTCATGGTCAACAACTCCAAATCTCCTAGACAATTCGTTCTTTAGAATGTCCAAGTAAAACTCCTTCGTCATCACGTCATCGAAATTTCGGAGGTCACCAACACCTTTCGACGAAATACAACCCCAAACCATTATAGAAAGCTTACCAAACTTTTCTGGATCCATCATGATAGTATAACCTTATTTTTGTCTCGTCGCAAAATTAACGTCATCCCAGTATTCTGCAGTCCTGTAAACATTGGTAATAGAAAAGTTGAGCCGCTTCTCAATATTAACTACCGACAACAGTGGTTTCCTTCTGGCTATTTGCGAGAAGTAATTGTGTATTTTTAAGACTTTGCGGTTTGTCTCGTGACTTACTGTTTTATGGCAATCATTATAAATATCTAACGCCAATTTTCTCAAACTACGATTATCATCTGCTTGAAAATCTGCTTTCAAATTTTTAATGATCGCGTCTAGAAAGTTTCGGTGGTCTACCTCCAGAGTGCTTTATCTCCAAACTGTTTCAATTTTTTGGTACCGTTAAGTTATTTACGTGTTATTAAGAATTGTGTGGGTAATTTGCAAAGAATTAATTGACAACGCAATATTTGGCGATTTTTAAATTTGCTTTCTTTACCGTTCTGTTTTAATGTTTGTTATTTCTGCGAGTGATAGTTGTTAACAATTAATAAAAAGAAGGAAAATAAAATACTTTCATTTATAAAATAAAATTTGAAAAGAGATTTTTATGATTTTTTCATTTTGCAAACAATTCATTGACATACTGTTTTTGGTTTTGCTTTCATAAACCTTATAATGCATTGGCATTCATTTAATAAAAATAATTAATATAACTAGTTTATTTGTTTTTGTCATTCCTTTTTCGCATATTTTGACGTTTTGTATAGCTGTGGTGCCACCTTTCCTTCATATAGTAATAAAAATGGAAATGTGCGTTGTCGCTTATCGTAAAAACTGAGTTAGAGAATCACATAACCGTTAGCGCAAGCGACACAATTCACAAGTTTGCCATCCGACAAATCGTGTCGATAAAAGTAAAAGAATTGCAATACAGAAGTGGATCTATAGGCTTAAGAAATGCATTGAAATCAACGGCGATTATGTAGAGAATATGAAAAAGGACCAAGATTAGGAATAAATACAAAAATAATTTTTTTTCTGGTCAACTTAAAAAAAAAAGTGCAGACCTTAATTAGTCTTCAAGCCTGTACCAATTATAATGCTGGCAACTGCGTATTATCTGCCTTTGTATTGGGCAGTGAACAGGAATTGACCAACGTCAGTGAAGCAAATATTCCAAAACCTACTTCAAGCGGCACTTTATAACCGCGATTTTCGGCTGAGTTTCTCCTTCAATTTGTGGTTTTGCGCTTCGATGTTTTCCACCAAAAGTACGGACTTCTGAGACACTATCGAACGACTGATGGATTTTTCTGTGGAGCCTTTATTTCATATCAGAAATAAACTCGTTGTGTGTGCGCGGTCTGGCGTTGTCCTGATGAAGCACAATTCTTTTTCTGCTGGGCATACATTTTTTATATTGAACCCACTGTTCAGACTATGCAGGCAAAGTAGAGTGAAATGTTTTCATGAAAAGTATAAATTTTTTCCACTTAAGGTTAAAAAAAGCAGCCTTCATTCTCTTTCCCATTGAGCGATCGTTAATCAGGAATCAGAAAAATTAACTTTATTTTTTATTCAAATGCCTTTTCTATAATTTTTGGACAATTGTTAAGAAACTTTGATATTTTTGAAATTTAGTGGTATGCAAACGAATTGATCATTGATTTTCCGACACAAAAACTATGATAATCAATTCTTCCACAGTATTTGCCTCTATAGGTTGGCTTTCGAAAAACAGTTCTTAGGGAAAACCAACAGCAAAGTTTACTACACTCACTGCAACTTCTGACAAATGACCTTGAAATAAAATAATCAGCTACGAAATTGTCTATCCGGAGCTTAAATAGTTTTTATCTATGCTAACCTTTGGCATTTTCAAATTTTTGTTACTTCGTTCATAACAGCTGACTAAGAACGCATTTACATAAAGAGTTAGTCAGGTACATTCAAGTAACAGGAAGTATAAAACACTAAAGATCCTTTTCAACTTTTAAATGGGACTGGGAGATGAGTGCGCGTCCTTAAAGTCAGTAAAGTATATTTTAATGCACTTACCGGTGTCGAATATGGATGCGCCGTCAAACGAATTCCATCGGTTTCCAACTGCTCGCGAAGAACAATATCTAACTCGTTCGGCGGTGTTTCACACAAAATCTCCATGCTGCCCGATAACGAGTTCGGATCGTTCAAGAGGAAATAAACGGAAGCGGCACCTTTCTCACGCAACTGTCGTATGCTCTTCAGTAACTTATGTCGATGTACGGGATTCTCAACACCAATGGCATCCAAATCGGGATCACCGACTTGTTTGCAAATCTCCAAATCATCATAACCATTATCAAGAAAACTTTCTGCATATTGTGCCAGACCAAGGGCACGTAGCCACTCGCAGACGATATTACTGACGGCCATTCTGAATATGATGCCGTCTAACCGGCGGCGGGTGGTGGTGGGTTTCTGCGTACACTATCGCAACAACTTACGGCACTCGTACAGGTGCCTTGGGGCGTTGTGGTGCGTCGACTTTTACGGCGAGAATTTTGCGCAGTACGCGCGAGTTGTTGAAGTGCAAATTTAGCGTGTATGCGGCAATTAACGCGCTACAAAATGCCGAAACGGGACTAATTTACGCGCGCGTAATTGTTGTTGACGACGGGTCGGTTGGTCGTTTGGGCGTAATTGTATTCGGATTGCATACACAAGCAAGCAAATGAGTTGCACTTGAATTTCGGATATTTTTGACCAGCAGCGCAACGTGGCGCGGCTTGTAGCTCTCATGCGATTATATCGCTTTCTATAACACTTTATTTAATTTTATACAAAATTTTTCTTTTTTTTGGTTGTTGTTTATTTTTCAAACTTCAAATTTATTCTTTCACTCTATTGGCGCTTTGTTGCACTATTAACCGCCAACAGGCGTTATTTGGCTGCTAAACGCCACATACAAATATTTTTGCAAACACACGTACAGCTTGTGGAATGGGAAGTGGGCAGCTTTTAATGGGCATCGGTGGTAAATGTTGCACGGCATGCAATTTCCGCGAAAATATTCTCAATTACCGTTATTCGGAGAGACGCAATGAAGGGTGGAATTATAAGTTGTTGATATTTGTAATTTTTTTTTACCTTTTCAGTTGTTTACAGCAATTTCGCTTGGCGCGCTAATCCATTTAAAATTTTTTCAAATTTTTTTTTTCTTTTCTAGTTTTTATTTTACACTTTCTGCCTCTTCTATAAACATAAGTGGCAGTTTAAATCAATTTGGCGGCAAGCTCATGAACATATACACTTTCATCGTTAAGTGCGCGGCAAATTTCACTTAGGCGCCCGCGCTAATGCTTGTAGGACACACAGCGCAGAGTAAAAACGATTTTTGTAGACGACTTAAGAAAAAATGCCAATTGGCAAAACGATTTCCATTTTTTTTCAATTTTTCACTTTTATAATTCTCTCAAACCCCGATCTAGCATTTAGCCTTCTTCTAGTGCACTCGTTTCGTCACCGAAAACGCTCTTTAATGACGACGCTCACCAGATTATACCAACGCGCGTGCAAACATAAAATTTTACAACACTCTTGTTTTTTGGTAGCATGTGGCATGAATGTGTTGTTCTGCCCGAGACGGCATTAAATAAAATTAAAATCTGCACTTACACGCTAGACCTGCCATATGACATTCAGGCAGCACAAGATACACACAGGACATGCGGTACGCGACGAGGACACACACGCCATAGTATTTGATTCAATTTTGCACTTTCTTTAATAGAAGTATACTGAGGCGAAATAGTAATAAAAATTATCATAAAATTATTATACAAGTATTTTCTTAGTCTCTTTCCGCTTAACTTGAATACGAAATCATTATTATTATTCTGTATGTGAGTGGAAATATTCTTAAAACACAAAATGCCTGTCCGAAATTTCACAAATTTCTACCTGCGTACTCACGCTCTCAACAGGCCACAAACACTACCAAACGCTTCAACGGTCGCGCACTGACTACTGCTGAAGTGACGGCGGCGGCGGCGGCGGCGTCTGACGCTAACATTTTCGTTTCAACATTCGCTCTTCGGCACAGTGACTTTGCCACCACTACACGTATGCGTTTGTTATTGCCCGCTCTACGACAGCTGATGATAATGTTGACATCTGGTGGTACTCTGTTGCCAGTTTTCCGTTGCTCTCCGTCTGCGCGCACTGCAATGAGAAAGAGAACGTATGAGCAAAATCAAATCATTCAGGGGTTGACTTCTTGCAGCATGTGCATTTTAATGAAAAGTAAATGTTTTTAAGTGGCAAGGAAAAATGTTCATTTAACCTATTTTGACAAGGACACGCAGGCCAATTGCACCATTCGAGCGAGCGGCGTCTCTTTAATGGACTTAAATTAATATTTATGCGAAATCAAAATTTTTTTTAAACTTTTCGGTACATTAATAGCGTTAAAAATGTATTTGTTTCAATTGTTAAAGGCATAAATTTAAATAGATTTGCTGTGCAGCAAAACAATAACCCGGAAAAATTTCCCAGCAGCAGTCGATTGGGCGCATAGATAAATTCGATTTGGATATGCCATGCAGTAGGGGAAAGTAAGCGTTGACACAAACTCATAAGCAACTTATTCTCCGTAGTTATAAGAACGGTTTTCCAATAAGAAATGTTATATTTTGAGATAAATGTTCGGCAATTTATTTCAATGTAAATGGAAAGTTATACCATTAATAACGGTTAACAATATCAGCCATCATCATTTTTATGAAATCTTCATTCACCAAATCACAGAGTGACAGCTGTATGCCCTCAGTAACCACACGAGTGCCATCTTTGAGCTCTTGAGTCGACGTTGGCCTATTGGCGCCAATCTTATATTTTACGTGACCCAAAAAGAGGAAGCCACAGGTGTTAAATCACAAGATCTCGGTGGCCAATTGCGATCACTTCTTCGAGAGATAACATAGTCTAGAAACTTTTCGCTTAAGAGGTCGGTCGTTCATTGCTTGTGCGGCTTCTGTGTGAAATTAAACCTTGTACAGATAAATACATCCAATTCTGGCCGTAAAACAACATTAATCATCTCTTGATTGTGCAATTAATTCAACGTAACTATTGCTTTAGCCTCTGTTTCGAAAAAGTAAGGTTTAGTGACCCTGCAGGACTATAAACTGCATCCAACAGTTGCATATCAATCTGGGCTCTCCGCTCCGCAGAAACGAAAGTAGCTATCCAGGTGGAAATGGGCCTCATCTGTCAAGATGAGTTTTAAATGAAATTCCTTATCATTTTCATGTTTTTCAATGGCCCAGTCAGCAAAGACACGACGTTGCTGAAAATCGGCCGGCTTAAGTTTTTGTGTTAACTGAACTTTACAAGCCTTAAGTGCGAAGTCTTTATGCAAAACACAATGTAGTGACGCTTGTGAAAAGCGCACTTCCTAAGAACGACGAGAATGGACAAACCTGGGATTTCTTCAACACTTTCGACCGCAAAATAATTTTGTTTTACTAAAGATGTAAGCCGCCTCTGAACAGCTGATGGTTTTTTTATGAGGAGCTTTATTGCATGTCAGCACATACGAAGGGTTGAATTTAGTTTAATTTTTTATTTAAATTAGTTTTTCTATAATTTTTTTGGATGTTAGTACGACAGCACGATTTAAACCCGGGCCTTCGGAATGGCAGTACGCAATGCTAACCACACGGCTACCGCGGCGACCATACATATAATCAATGAAATCCACTATAAAGGGGCTGGAAAAGGGTAGCGAAGAGAGAATGAAACTACTTTTAAGTTAAAGTCAAAAAAATTACAGATTCAAAGTGGCATCCACCGCAATAGCAGGCTATTCAGAATGGCATCTCTTATGGGGAAACCATCTAGTGTAGTGTAGTGTAGTGTAGTGGAGTAGCATCAAGTGTAGCGCGTTTAAAATTCAAGAAACGGAGGTGTCTACAGAGCAATGATGGTAGAGGATGGGAACAGCACTTTTAGAATTCACGCGCCTCCAACTTGACAACTTTCCTGCAAAGTACATATATCACTGTCATCCAGAAACTTTGTTGTAGAAACAATAAGCTTTGTTTTAATTTAGAGTTTCAGAGTTGTACTTTTTCGGTTTGGAGATAGACCACAATTACTGGCTGCCTCGAGAAAGATGATATTAAAAAAATTTCAAATAATCTCTACAACATTTTTTCCTCTAAATTGCTAGAAAATACTCTTAGAAATAATATAGAATTAGTCCCGACGGTCTACAAAATTAAGAAGTAAATATAGAAGAGGGGAGAGCGGGGCGGCCGCTCGAGTCCTTTAAACACCTTTTTCTTGAAACCACGAATCTTTTGCTTCTCAAACCGCACCCATCCATAGAAGGGGTGAGCTACATTTAAAGTTTTTCCCAAACAAATTTTATAATATTAAAGTAAAAATAAATAATAAAGTCTGCCGTAAATGAGCTGATCGATGTCAGAACCTCTCTCGATGGCAAGTTAACTGCTGCATGGACCAATTCGTTGCGTTTGCAGCGCCAAAGGGATTAGAGTCCATTTTATGTTCTCTCTCTTTGTTTGGTATTGAATAGTGTCAACTCTCTTCTGTATTTGAAATACAGTACTTTAGCCACAAATTAAGCAGTAAATTCCCACGAAAAGCAAAAAAAAAAAAATTCTAATCATCAATATCATCATAAGCATCGCCTTCTTCATTAGAGCAACCAGTTCAGGGTAAGCTACACCCATATAAAGTATGTACATGCATTCCTACAAGTATATAGGTATGTATGTATATATATTGCAATGCATGTGAACGAGCGCTGTGAGTTAAAGCACACTTCAAAATTCTACAAATAATATTGAAATTAATTGAGTTCATTCATTTCCGACCGATAAAAGGAAATAAAGAATCTTGAGCAGCGTAAAAGTTAGCGAGTTTTCATTTAGGTTCGCATGCCTGCATAAATATGCAAACACATACACATACGTACATACACACATACACTATGTATCTATATGCATACTTTTATAGTCTTCTGAATTTTCCCTTACCATTATATGCCCAATGCCAAATATATATAAGTACGAGTATATACAAGGAATATGGGTATCACACAAATTTATTGATTTCAATCGCATGCCAGCAGCTCATTGTGGTCTAGCAGAGCTGAAATTGCCAAAGCATGCTAGTTCTCAATTCATTCAAGCGCACATATGTACATACTTCAATGTGTATAAACAAAAGTTGCATTGCGTGTATTTTCCTATCTCCTTCGTGAAGGCTCAGCAAGTAAAAATTTTACAGTTTGTATTCTTGCATCTTGTAGCATCCACATTTGGACATTCTACTACACGTTCCATTTTCGTTGTTGTGTGAAAATCACACTTTTCTTAACGCCCTGAAGGGGCTTGGCACTGTGCATGGGTATGACAGATAGATCTCATTAGTTATGAGGTGTGTGCACGCACTCGGATGATAACAGCGCGCCAATCATTATTGCTGTCCATTGGGTTGAATGTGCGATTGCAGGGCGAGCAAGCTCATCAGTTCAGTATAATAAAAATCAATGAGTTCAATTAATTAAGAATATTAGTGTAAATGTTAATACTCACGCGTACATCAATCCGGACATGTGCGTATGTGAAAATGTGAGTAAAATGTTTACACTATAAACCCATCAACGAGTCACCAGCTAGTGTTCTCAGGGAGATGGTAAAGTTCTGCAGTGTAGCAGTTCGAAGCTCATACAAATAAGACCAAGTAAGTAGCAGTGCATGCTACTAGTTAGCAGATCCACCGTTTAACATAAAAAATATGCCAATATCACCAAAAGTCTCTCAACCTTGAGGGAGAGAGTTTTACAAAAATCTGCAGCCCTTCAGAGGTGATTAAAGTAAAGGTCACCAGAAAAGAGATCAGTGCACTTCAATGAGAGGCTCTTGCTTCAGAAGTAAAGAAAATTATTAACTAGCAAAGAAAAGCTAAATATAAAACCTAATTAATGTGGAGGAGTCAGAAATGTAGACACTACTTCTTCTCGTTAAACCGAAAAGAACTGTTGAGAATATTTTATAATTTTCTCTTCTACTGAATTTAGGGAGGGAACACTTCTCCAGCCTGCTGAATGGCAGTCAAAATGAAACACCCAGAGATGATGGATCCGAAATTCCAATTAAAGACGATGGAAAAGTTGTTCCCTTACCCGACTATGCAGAAGTCCGAAAAGCAGTTGCCCGCCTAAAGAACAACAATGCCGCAGGCAGAGCTATTCAAATACGGCGGTGAAATACTGATCAGGTGCAAGCATGCCCGACGATTGGAACCTAAGTGTGCTCTGCTCAAGCCACAAACAAGGCGATCCCACAGTATGCGCCAATTACCGTGGGATAAGCCTATTTAATGTCGCCTATAAGGTCCTAGCAAGCGTATTATATGAAAGACAGAAGCCCACCGTCAACAAACTGATTGGACCTTATTATTTTGGCTTCAGACCTGCTAAGTCAACCATTGACCAGATATTCACCATTCTTTAAATCTTTTAACAGACCCATGAAAAGACGATTGACACATACAACCTCTTCGTCGGTTTTAAAGCAGTCTTTCACAGCTCGAAAAGGAGCTGCCTTTACGTCGCTATGTCTGCATTTGATAAGCGAGCAAAACTTATACGGCTGTGTAAACTAGCCTTAAGCAACACTAAAAGCCCCGTCAGAATTGGAAAGGACCTCTCCGAGCCGTTCGGTATAAAACGAGGTTTCAGACAGGGTGACTCCCTGTCGTGTGATTTCTTCAGTTTGATGCTGGAGAGAATAATAAGAGCTGCAGAGCTGAATAAAGAGTGTACAGCTGTTGACGTACGCCGATGAAATCGACATTATTGGCCTAAACAACCACGTCGTGAGTTCTGCTTTCTCCAGACTTGTTGAAGAAGCGAAGAAAAGGGGTCTGGAAAGACGAAATATATCTCATCGCATTCGCTGTTTGGCTCCCATGTCACTGTTGACAGTCATAACTTTGAAGTCGTAGATAATTTCGTCTACCTGGGAACCAGCATCAACACAAACAATAATGTCAGCCTTGAAATCCAACGCAGAATCACTCTTGCCAACAGGTAGCGATGGAACGATGAGCTGTACAAGCTATGCGATGATATTGACTAAATCCAGTGAATGAACGAAGGCTGGGTCATGTCGTCCGAATGGATGTGA